AAGCAGTTTCACATATGGTGGCATCAGGTTTGTCAAATTGTACGCTTATCAAGGAGCTCTATCTTGCTGGAAACAAGATAAGTGATGTGGAGGGACTGCATAGGCTCTTGAAGCTGACAGTTCTGGACTTGAGCTTCAACAAGATAACTACATCAAAAGCACTTGGCCAGCTTGTGGCCAATTACAACTCCCTGCTAGCTTTAAATCTACTAGGAAATCCAATTCAGACTAATATTGGTGATGATCAGCTACGGAAAACTGTCTGCAGTATTCTCTCAAAGTTAGCTTTTCTCAACAAGCAGCCTATCAATCCTCAAAAAGCACGGGAGGTAGGCAAAGAAGGCATTGCTAAAGTTGCACTCGGCAACAGCAGTTGGAGTTCTCGTAAAAAAGCAGCAAGGAAAGTGACCCAAGGGGGTTCATCTTCCTCTGGTGTTCATAGGAGCAGTGCAAGTGTTGCGTATAAAAACAGGCACAAGTCAAAAAGCCGCATACAGTCTCATCCTACCACAAAGGCCAAGTGAATCCTGCATCTTCACCCTGTTATATCCTTGTCTAGCCAGGTTATCCAAAAATGCCCTCTCTTCCGGTGGGCAACATTGAGAGCTTGAGGTTTCTTTTTCATTTTGTTTCAAGTTGGAGTGTTTGATGTTACCAACCAGGTGTTTTGCTTATGTTGTCTGGATCCTTTTTTTTTCCCTTTTCATGTTTATGGTCATTGAGTATCTTGACTATTTTGTCTGTCTGTTAAGCTCGATTTGTTTCTAAAGAATCTGATCTTCAGAATGATTGGCATCGCAAGGGTGGCAGGAATGGCTGCTTTTTATTCAGTTGACGTTACAAGAATGCCATTGCCATGGAACAGTGGTTTCGAAACAAAATCCTGACTTGTAGAAAAGTTTACACGCTAATAATACGTTTCACAAAGAAACTAGATGGCATGTCAGGCTAGTATGAGCTGATACCTTGATAAAAATTAAACAGCAGCATACAAGGTGAGCTTAATTCAGGAAAATTTGCAATCTGGTATAAGACCTCTAGCCTCCAGTAATGCTTCGGTACATAGTGGTCAACTTCTAAGTGATACTAAAATTGTGTAGGATGACTACAGTGGACTATGTTCTTTGGCTGTAATTCGGATTCCTTTGACTAGTGTCTGGGTTCACAGAAAATGGTGACCAATCCGATTACACCTTGCGTATATGCAACAACTCTCTTCTCTTCCCAGGTAGGCCTGTGCTTCTGCAGAACTAACAGAAAGGTGCTTTTACCACTGATAAATGGAGCAAACATACTCAATCATAATACAGACCTGTATCTTCTGAGCCAAGATTAGTTATCAGTACAAATTATGTACTAATAGAAACTCGATCTATTTCTATTCATACTTACAAAAACACAATTACCATGCTTTAGAAGCTCTGCTTCCCACATGGCCTGACGAAGATCAAGAATGCAATCATATCAAATGACTCGTATCAGAACCAACAACACTACCGTACAACTATCTTACATTGAGAAAATTAGTTATCTTAGTCAAAATGTTCATTGGCAACAGAAACTAGCAAGAGTTAGATGATAAGATAATCATTGCATTAGGATGTGAAACCATGAAGATCATATTTCATGCGGAAATATTCTATTCACGTAGAGAAACCATATTCTTGACAATTAAATAAATTCATAGGCATGAACTCATGAAAAGTAGAAACAAGATTCGTATTCAAACTAGTGCAAATTATACACATGATCAAGTCTCTACATATTCTAAAGACTAAAGACCGAGACTTTTAATCAACTAGTGACTTTAAAATACAAAAAATCAACTTGAAAATAATCAGCATGACACTAAAATGAAAACTAGATCCCTTCATCAAGCAGTGCCCAGTAGATTAGCACAGAGAAGCAGCTGCATAACTTGCCAAGTTCAACTCTAAAGTACCTAAGAAGTTCATACTGAACTGTTGCCTCTGTCTGCCCATTTTCCTTTCATTTGTTTTCCTTGTTGAGATACTTGATATTGTTGGTATCATCTCTCTCATTCAGGCAAAACCCGCTTCATGCTCAAATTCTCTACTGCAACTTCATTTCTTACTCCCATCATCACTTGATCCCAAATCTTTCATTTCTGCACATCTATACAACTTCTCATTGAATACCAACTGGGGATCCTTCTTGATCAATACACCATCCTCCCCATAAGCATCCTTCAGAAAAACACACCAATTCATCTCTGTCCCAGCCAAATAAAATGTTCTCGGCTGCTTCAGAAGCATCTGATAAGTATGTTTAGTTAGACTAAACTCCTCCTTAAACTCCACAATGTTATGTATATAAGCCCTCTTCTCCAATGTCAAGCTCAAGAACTCATGAATCACTCCAACCCTATACTTCTCAGCCTCCAAAGTCCATAAATCAAACTTACTCCCATCGGAATAAGGTGATACCAATGGCAAAGTATTCAACATATTCAACTTCCTCTCATCATCCTCATCTAAATCCAATGCCTTCCCATGTTTCACCGCGAATTTAAACGCCTTCTTAACCTTATCCTCATCTATCATAAACTCCTTCTGCAACGCACTAACTGCCAATGTAGGATCCCAATTCACAAGTTCAAGCACCCTTTTACCATCTTCCTCAACAACAACCTTAAAGTGCTCGGGAAACTTCACCACTCCATCTCGAAAATCATCCGGGATCCCAAACAAAAGCCTGTTATGATGAATTTTACTCAGGGGGATCCTCTTATTAACCGACAGCATCAACAATTTTCTGACCACATTCACTCTCTCAACTTCCATTTGATCCATGATTTTGCGCTCCTCGAGCAACAGTCCCTCCATAAATTCACTAAAACCAATCCACATTTTATTATCCGTGTGGCGGTAAACATCGAAAAGTAAAGGGTGATTTTGGATAAATTTCGAGACTTTTCGGCCGCGGGGGAAGCCCAGTTGCTGGTGTAGTTTTCCTGCCTCGTCGAGGAGGAGGACTTGTTGGGGTTGTTTGGAGAGATATTCTTTGGTTTTTGTTAAAAATCTGAAGTGGGCATCGCGGTGGAGGATGTTTTCCAGGTGGGGGCTGAGGTTTGGCTGGGTTTGAACAAGTTTGGTTCGCGGGCTTTCTTTTTTCTTGCGTTTTTTCTTGAATTTTTTGGGGGTTTTTGTTACTAGAAATGAGGTGGAGAAATGGCGGGAGTTGAAGAGAGAAAATATGTGAGGTTTTGAGTAGGGGTTTAGGAGGGTTTTGAAGAGAGGAAGTTTGGAGTGGGTTGTTTTAGTAGTGGTGGTGAGGATGGAAAGAAGGTGTTGCCAGACGGTCATGGGCGGCGGAATTGGTGTCATGTGGCGGCGGCGGGAGGGTTTTGTGCTGGTGTGAGGTGGTGGTGACACCGTGACAGGGTGGTTTGATGTGCAATGGTCTATGGTGTCCCATTGGTCAGAAAGGGGAAAAGACGAAAATGAAAGAAAGGAAATTAAAGGATGCAAAACAAATTTGAAGAAAAAATATGATATTGTCCGACCTGCCGGATTCGAACCAGCGACCTAAGGATTGCCATGTAACCACTACAGTCCTCCGCTCTACCAACTGAGCTAAGGTCGGTTATGTAATCATGAATCCACCAAACAAATTAAAGTTAATTATGTTAGTTAGATAGATTTTATTAATAGTCAGATGGCTAATAGGAGCTGATATACAAAATAAGATGGATTATCCATCCACTCCTCCTGTATTTGCTTTCAAATTTGCATTCCGGGCAAACTCATCAGCAACTTAGTTTAGATAAAGACAAATTTGGGGATTTTCCCAAGTATGATGGCTAAAGATCCCTTTTTTTTTTACCTTCCCGTTCCCTTATTCCCTCCCTACCTGAAATCTGTTAGTCAAGATTTAAACCTTGATCTATCAAGCGGGAGTTCAACTCTTTGACCAGTAACCCCACTATGATGGTTAAATAAAGATTTTTGCAAGTTGCTTCAAAGGTTCTCGGCTCAAATCTCACTCTCGCTCCCCACTTTTCAAATCTCATCCCTCCATTGTTGGAAAATTTTAAAAAAGAAAAAGATTTTTTGCAAGTCCTTGAAATCTCAAAAAAAAAAAATATTTAAACAGGATGTGCCATGGGACCTCTAAAATTGGATTAACCTTAAAAACCCAAATTATTGTATGAGCAGTGGAATCTAGGAGTGTGTTTTTTCTTTTTTTTTTTCTTTTCCAATTAAAACGAGACAAAAATGGATTAAATAGTTGTATATGCAATGCAATATAGGGGTACTTTGGTCTACATAAATCAAAATGGTTGAGAGGAGTTTCATTAACGATTAGACCCTGCATTACGTGTTATTTGGCAAATAGTGGCTGCGCAACTAATTAATAGGGTTTTATGAAAAAATGTAGAAATAGATTAATAGGGTTTTATGAAAAAATGTAGAAATAGATTAGAATACTTTTCAGTAGGACTGCAAACGACTCGCGAGCGGATTGATCGAATTCAAAATATTAAGCTCATTAACTCGCGAGATCGAGTATATATATATGTATATATTTTTTTTTATTATTTTTTATTTTAATAGTAAAATTATATATATTCTTAATATTTTATTATTTATTAAAAAAAATTATTATTTTATTTTTAAAAAAATAAAATAATTATTTTTTATTTTTTTCGAACTCAAACTTGGCTCGAATCAAGTCGAACTCGAGCTCGAGTTTTAAATTGTCAACTCGTCGAGCTCGAACTTGAGTTCGAGTTCAATAAAATTAAATCAAGACTCGACTCAATTAAGCCAAAACTCGACTCGGACTTGTTTGCAGCCCTATTCTTCAGCTGTTAAAGCTTTGCGCTTCTAATGGGACTTGAATTGATATCCAATAACCACCACTACTCCGCCCAGACAGAAAGAATTTATTTCCATGCAAAGAAGCGTTCCTTTGAAATTTTTCTTCAGTGGCAAAGGCCTCAAAATAAGATAAGAGGGACCAGAGCAAATTGATAGTATAAAACTTTTCACCAAGTCAAGACATTCGAGTGAATACATTTAGCAAAGGAAAAGAATGTCCAAACCAAATGAAAGAATGATGTCAAGCGAACGAAGCAGCTGGGCATACTATACAATGACTGAAAAAATCAACTTTGCTTATTCTGCAAATCTTCACATTATAATTTTATCAATGTGGTTGTATGGATGAAATGAGACATCACAAAGAAAATTTTTTTAAAGTATATCCCTATACTTCTCTGAACATGCTGTGCCTCAGGCTGTGTAATTACATGGCCCTATGTTTACCTTACGGCTCCATAGGATTTTGAGGACCTGTGGTTCCTCCCTCCTAAGCAGAAAAATTGTTCCTGCTTTTACTGCATTCTGTTTTTTCTAATCAAAACTTTCAATTCCACCAACTCTGTGGAACTCTACCACAATTCTTGTAGAACTTTACGACGAACATAACTTTATCTCAAGGTTTGTCTATGAACGTTGGCTTCTTGCCAACCCTGAATTACATTGCCTGCCTCTTTACAAAAGCTTTCTGGCAGATTAGGAGACGCTCATCGCTGTTGTTCTCAACCTCTACCACACGTGCATCCCATTTCAAGAGTGTGGTGAGAGTTCTTGCAGACTCGATTAGGGTAGCCGTGTCTCGTAGTATAACCCAACCCTGCATCACAGCCATCAAGATTAGCTAATGTCAGGAAATGCATGTTAAAAGCCTAGACCTAATCGCAATTGCATTTACAAACCAAGCAGATTACTGGTTACCCAATGAATTAGTTATAGAAAGTCCTTGTAAATAAACTAAAAAGCCCATAGAGCATCCTAGAAAATAATGGATAAAAACCCCTCGATCTCAGAATGTTTACCGGGAGACTTGAAAGCTAACGTATGAGACTAATTATCCACTGGAAACTCGCATAATTAGAAAGGTCAAGGTGACTGCTATTTAAACCGAGTGCCAATATCAGCTACAATTCAATTTCTATCGCTATAATAGTTTGTATAACAAGGAAATATAGTCATAGAGAGACGTACCTCTGGACGAAGTATACGATCCATCTCGATGAACACATCTAGCATTTCACATCTTCGCTTCTCACCAAATTCAAGTGACAAAAGTCCATCTCCATGCACAAGGTCATAAGTTCTTGGGTATGTCGGGAATGCTTCACACCTTGAGGACAAAGAACATAATAAGTAAATCACAGAACTTAGGAAGAAGCATGATAGTGTATTGACTAGGAGAAGAATAATAAGAGCTCCTGAACCAAAATTTTGAAGTCTTAGTCATGTGAGACTTAAGAGGACGTCAAAATTTCTACTATCACTTGTACTGCACAAGCAACTAGGTATCTGTCCAAAATTCTGTTATGGAATCCTCTCCTTGCATTAAGGACTACGACAAGAAGGCGAAATACAAATGGGCAAGAAGAACATTTGAGGATTAACTGCAAGTATAAAATTTCAGGGTAAGCTGCAAATATCAATTTGCTATGAAATCCAATGTCTAAGAAGTCATCGGGTTATATTGAATATGCAATTGAAATCGTTTCCTCTTTCCACCAATGCATAATAGAAGTCGCAACTAAACTGTACGATAATTCAATGATCATCTTTGTGTTCACTCTGCATGCAACTGACAAATCAACAAGTAAAAGAGGGAAATAATTGTTGCCCAAGAGAAAGGGAGCAGAAATTACCAGTCATGTAAAACACCAACAAATCCCCTATCCAGAATTAAAGGAAGGTGGTTGTTTCCAGTTGTGGGAATCACATTCATGACCCACACAGATTTCTTGGCTTCTAGTAATGCAGCATTGAATCCACCAAAGTGAGCATTCATGTCCAACACATTTCTAACCATGTTAAAAGGTGGAGAAGGATCTTCATCCCCAGGTCTCTTTGGATGATCAGAAAATATTAGTGGTGAGAGAAGAGACCAATAATCCCGAACTGCTGAGTTCCAGTTGAGGGTATCCTCCACAAAGTCATCTGAATTTAAACCTGATACAGCCAAAATGGATTATATGAAGATCTTCCAAGGAAGGCTACAAATCGAAAATGGCGTACAGTCTAAACATCCTTTAAATGATTAGCCATGAACAACCTTGACTGTTTTCATGCACTTTACATCATTTTAATGGTTGCAAACTGCTTCAATAATGGTTGGATTAAGCAGGTAGTAAATGATTATAATCTTACCATGAATTGCAAGTTCATTTGAGTTTAATCTAGTCCTTGCTGGCCATTTAGTCCTTTCTGCAATAGGAATCCATCGCCGGCTCTGAGTCCCTGCAATACATCCCTGAAGCGGTCGATAATAGGGGGATTCAACATCACGGCCCCTGTTGCAGAGAGAGGGACCAGAACCAGATTTCCTGGAAATAAAAGCAATCCCACAAATCCACAACCATCAGTTGAATCCACACTTACACACTGTAAAATTCATATCTTTGGTGGACAAAGCTCATAAGTTGAAAAAATAAATAAACAAACAATTATGCAAGTGTACTTGCATTAATCCCTTACTTAGTAGCATAACAGTTAAATTATGTAAGTGTAATGTATTGATGCCTTACCTAGTAGAATAACAGTTCTTTTTACTAGTCTTTTTCCAAACAACAGTGTCAACTTGCTGTGACAACATATCCCAGCAGAGATTTTTTGCAAAACCATGCACAAAGTTCCATTCTTTCTGGTTCTCTTTTTTGCGAAGGTACTGCTGAGAACTTGTCAGTTGCGAAGTCCAGACAAAATATCCACCAGGCCTTAGAACCCTATCAACTTCAACTAAAAGAATACCATCTGCACCACACAATAACAAGCATGTAACAGTAAGTAACACTCTTTGTATAACAGGGAACTGTTTGAAAGATGGTAATTTGGAACCTTTGAAGGACTCTAATTATGTACTGGAGAATTCCAGAAGGGCAATGGCCAAATGAATCAAAGGGTGCATACATTCTACTTGATCAACTGTAGATTGCAAATATCTGGAGTTCACACTACAGGACAGGTAATGAAAGATATATAGTACGCTTTGCTCAGGTCAGACATCTTAGCAAATTAAGTGACTCTTGCCAATCTAAAACTTCTGTTGCTTTTAGATTCAATTTCAGTATCTATCAATCTAAGCTCCAAAAAGAAGATCGGAATTTTGTTGGCCGAGAATACTGCTAAACAACATGAATAAACCTCAAGTACCAGTCTGCTGTCAAAATCATTTACTACTTTTTAGATATTTATACCAGCCTTCAACAGTCAAGCCAGAAAATCAGCAGCATCAACTAAGCTCATGTATATATAGTTTAGAACAAGAGAAGCAGAAAAGCTGCAGCTACCCCATATCTACTAAATATGTGAAAATATTCTAAAGTAAAAAGAAAAAAATGAAAATTGGAAGCCAAAATTCAACTGATCATGATGTAAAATAACTTTTCCAATGAAGCAATTAATTTCCACAGAGATCACTACTGCACTATCCAATTTGTATTAACTCATGCATTCATACGTTAGTGTACTGCTGATAATAATGGGAATTCTTGCCACCTCAGAAGTTATTCCAGGGATGATTGTCACTATCCGGTGACTGTCATATGTTTTCTAAGATAAAGAGGGTCAGTCTTTGAGGAGGACATGTTTAAGAAACTCAAGTCCTCAGACATAAGTGAAAAGCTTCATTCTCTTTCTTAAGTTAGTATATAGTATTTTCTACATCTAGACAGCAAAAGACAAGCAGCAACCAAGGAGCTTGTAGCAATGTTTGCTTTCTGAACTGCAAAAAATAAAAAGTTACAATGCTACGTCTATCAAGAATGTTTTTCAAACATCTTTCTACTAGCAGTCCGACATTGTGTTCCTTTGTTACAATAATCCTTCATTTGACTACTCTGGAACTCTTTCCTAGTATGTATTGTTGACACAATACTGTTCCAAGATATCTTCAGCATATCCATTCCATAACTTTAATAACCTAAAAGTCCCCGATGAACACACAAGGAGTTATCTTTATGTTGTAAAAACAAAAGGTTTAGCATGAAGTAGGAAGAACGCGCAGGAGAGAAGGACCAACATCATGAAGCCTACCTTTCTGATCCCAATCAATGCCACATCCCGCACAGTGTATCATGTCAAAAGAAAGAGATGGATACGGCAACTGTTTTGAAGTAAATGAACTAATCATTGCAGGAAGACCTCTTTCCAGGGTGAGCTGAACTTGACTGCCAGAAGCTTCATAATTTGCAATGCACATTGTCAACAATTCATAGGAAAAAAGATGTGCCCCAAGGTTACCATAGCCACAGCCTATGTCCAATATAGTTCGAACCTGAAAGTGAAGAACATTTACCATGAAGCTAAATTTTTCGTATACCAAGATGGAACAAAAATATCCAACAATTCTGGCACCAGTAGAAGCTATTTGCTACATTCATAATTCACATAAGAAGAACAACCCAAATTCCAGGACCTTAGATCAGAGTGTTGTTTGGGTTAGAACAGCTTTATCTAGTTGAGCTAAATCTAAACTGATTCAATACAGAAAAACAACACAAAGCAAAATTCTAATGAAGAGCACTTCCATCAGAACAAAACAATCATGGTGAACAAAGTAACTGCATCTGATGTCCATGAGACCAATGTATGCAACAGCTATGCAAAACCAGCAAATACAGAGGAGTACTTCAAATTTGTCCCAAGGGAGGTAAGCTAACAGCCTAACAAAAAACTGGCACAAAGCAAAGTATGCAGGAATTGGAAAATAGACAGGTCTTTTGCAAGTTATGGAAACACATATAATGGTCTCACTAAAAAGCCATTTGGAAATTTGAGCTCATTGAGAATTATGTGCCATCAACTGGTAGATTCCAGGTAAGGATAAATATTAGCTACATAAAAGCAATCCAAGCAAAACAGCCAATGCAATGCTCCAGTAGTAAGATCATAATAGATGGAACTTTCAAGAGGTAGAATGATAAATAAAACTAAATTTTCATCTAGCCAAAGGTGACGAAACCTATAGCAAGGTAATTAAGATTAAGACCACATTAAGCCACAATCACTTACTCCAGATTGTATGAAGTTGGATTCATTTCTTAGCCCAACCATTTCAGCAATTTGGTGAGCATAATCTTCCATGTCATCATACCCAGGAGATGCCGAACGAAAGGATATTTGATCTTCATCATACATCATCATCCTGAAGTGGTTTGACACTGTTAGAATAACTAAATAAAATTCAGGCCTCCAACATAAACAAATGATCTTTTCTCTCAAAAAAAGAGACCAGCATTTCATTTTAACCCACCTTTTGGTCAAACTTCCAGAGGATCGAACCTCCTGTGCGGTAATATTTATATTTGCCACCCAGATAAGATCTCTTCCCCAAGGCCACCGCAGCGGAATCTTGTAATTGACAGGTGGAAGAACCAAACAACTTTGTCTGGAACTTGGCCCACAGTGGCGGTCATATTCATCGCCAGTGGAAATCCCCAAAGCAAGATTTTCTGAAACATTGAAGCAAGGAACATAATTCTCAGACTCTGGAGAACAATATTCCAAATCTTTTAACTTTGTAGAACCAAGAGAAAGCTTTCCAACATCAACCAAGTCAGAAACTAATTGCTGCTGCAGGCTCCTGTAGCCTCGATATACTTGACCTCTGGATGAAGTTGTTATTGAGATTGTCCACCAAAAGGATCCAGTAAGAGCAAGAATTACAATTACAACTAAGCTTAACCTCAGCAAAAGCAAAGCGCGCTTATGTCTATTTCTTAGTACTCCAGGACTAAATGGGTCTGAAACAAATCCATTCTCCAGTAAACCATGCTTAGAAGATGAATTGTCCGTGAGAAGAAAACGAAAGGGCTGTCTAATGGATAAATAAGTCTGATCAGCATTTGGACTCTTTCTATCAACATCTTCCTTCTCTAATTTATCTTTCATCTGAGAATCATCATCCCAGATATCATGGCTATTCGGTGGAAACCGCCCCCCACCTGATACACCTCGATGGAGAGGCCTTGACATTGTCCCACCTGAAATCCCCTGTAAACAAGTCATACATTAAAATGCCTTTTGATAAAAATTACTAATAGAGCACTTATTATATCAGGAAACAATAAAACGGCCAAGTGGGAAGCCTAAACAAGATCTAATCCCCTATTTTCAAATTAGATCCACTAACTAACCCGAGAAGAAATATGCCAAAAAATTCAACCTTTATTTTTTGTAACGATAGTAACTAAGTAAAACGTCTAGTAGAAATATTGGTTGCATAACTAATAAAACCTTAAAACGAGATTATTAAGGGGGTGATAACAAATCCCAAGTACACCAGTATCAATGAGATCTTACCTTACCAAACAAGTAAGAACAATAAAGGTGGTTCAATTATGGTGAACTTCAGCTCACTTAGTTACTCAAAAACCAATTAAAGCAACTTCAGAAAATCAAATTGAAGGAAAACCCATTAATTTGCATCCATGGAAGTCGCCATCTTTTCAACGAACAAGACAAATACCAGTACAGAACGAATTCTACTCGAGCTAAGTTTGCAGAAAGTAAGAATCTTTAGAGAGTACCTTAATGTATCCAACAAGACAGATAAATGAGTAAACACCTCCCAATCTAAGCCCCTGAATTTCAGTCTATTTGTTTCCCCTTCTTTTGCTTGAATTTGCCTCAACTCAAGATTTTGTCCTTTCCCTTCTCTTACCTCACCACCCTCATTTCCTTCCCCTTCTTCTCACCCAGTCTCTGTCTCCCTCTCTCTCTCTCTCTCTCTCTCTCTCTCACACACACACACACAATACGCAGTAACTCACTCACTCCTTCAGCTTTCAGTCTCTCTCTCCCAATCCAAAATATATCGGTGAATGAATGTACGTATGTATCTATTTGTCTTTCTCTGGAGTCTGGGGAGTGTCTGAAACGCGGGGTGGAATTCTTGAGAGAGAGAGAGGAGCAGAGAGATAGGAAAACGGAGACTAGCAAGAAAAACAGTAGTGCGTAGAATTGGGGGCTGCCAACTAAAGTACGGTATGGATCCAAATCCAATCACAGGTCACAAAACCATAGCTGGCTCGTGAAGCCAAATAAGCAGCAAGTGCAATACCTATTCCTAGCATGAGATGTCATCATTTGACGAGATTGATTCACGCATATACTATTCACACGGTCATTAGAAAACAAAAATTGTTCTCACATATTAATTTATTACGAAAATTATTAGTATAAAAGTATTTATCTTGTTTTTTTTATATCTTTTGTAGTAAAATACTACAGTTTGCTAGTAGTACGGTAGATTTAGCTCAGGTCGGGCGACTAGTGTTTCAAGCATTCTAATAGTAGAATAGAATATTATTATTTAAAATATTATTTAAAATAATTATTATAATATTTTTTGTGATTTAACGTATGTAAAATAAAAAATTAAGTGATAGTATAAAAAGATGAATTAAAAAATGTGTTTATGATACATATAAAATATTATGTGAAATAATCTTCTATCCAAACACTCTCATATTATTGCCTACAAAGTTCTACCATTTTATCTAATTCAGCAGTGTGATAAAATCAACTAAGATTCATCGTGTAAATATTTATCACTAAAAAATATGATATTAAATTTGATGAATATTAAGTTTACACTTTTGAATACTTATTATTTCTCTACTTTTGATACTAGTTTGTATATGCGAAAAAGTAACCTCATCGACACTTAAAATTTAACCTTGCTTATAAATTTTGCGTTTGGATTGTATTTTCCGTGATTTTTCATGGAAAAATTACTGTAACGATTTGATGTATGTGAGGGAAAAATGTAATAGGGAAATGTGATCACGGAAAACGACATAATTTTTCGACGGAAACCGGCAATCCAAACAAGGCTTAAATTTGTCACTAAACTATTTAAAATAGCACGTTTCAGACATCAAAACTCATTTTTTTTAATTAAAAAAGTCACTTCACTTCTTAAACGAGCCTTTCGAGTAATATTGTCCAATTTAACTAGTAAACCAACAAAAAATGAAAAGCACATTTGACCTGCTGTTGTTGTAGGTTTTCAGGGCTAAAAATGCCCTAAAATTCAGTTCTTTTTCGGTTGATTTATCAAAAAATGGCCCAAAAGACCTGTTTTAAGGAGATAAGTAGCCTTTTTATTAAAAAAAAAATCGATAATTAGACAATGCCGTTTTAAATAATTTAGTAACCATTCTCACCATTTACTCTAAATCGAAACTTGGGTGGTTTATCCTTGGCAAAGACGGAGCTTGGGTGAAGTTGAAAATTGAAATAGGATTTTCTTGACGAGTATTAAATGGGCACAAATAATTAATTTTATCGTCTTTTTTTTTTTTTTTTACTAACCGTACTTGTTATTCAAACGCACATGTCCATATTTGCTTCGATTCAAAAACGTTTCAGATTTAATTTTACATCTTGAAAAAGACATCTGTTAACTGGTGCTCCTTTAACATGACTACAAATGTTTTAGCCCTCGTTCTTAATAGGATTAGTATCAAGAAGCGTGAAAATTAAAATTATTAAAGCGCGTATAGAAGCTACCATCAGACAGTTAATCGATGAAGAATTAATCACTGCATTAAATTAAGTACTAATAGCATTTATACTAGAAGTCATTAAATTAAATACTGGTAGTAAAACATATTGACTGCGGAAACCCACGTGAGATGCTATTGACTTCAAGGTGGATCATCAGCATAAATTCAGATGTGGATGCAAAGCTGCATTTGGATTAACGACTTAGGATAATTAGCTATTAATTATGTCATGTTACGTAGATTAGTAGTCTAGTAGTAGTGGATCGGGGTGGGAGTGGGAATTAAGGAAGAGGGGGCGGGCTAGTGGTGATGGAGATTGGAGACAACGAATGAGGGGATTTTTACGCCTTTGAATTTGGAAAATAAATTTCACAAATGTCACCAACTTGCGCCGGACATCCCGCTCCTATGCATGACAACTAATACAACACATATGCACACACACACACACACGTATGTGCACATGTATGATGTGTTTTTGTTTTGCATGGTAAGTCTTAAATAAACCTTCTACCAAATGAAAAGAGAAAAGGGGAAAAAAAGGTGGTGAATGAAAAGAGCTAGTTTCAAAATCTAAGAAAGAAATTAAAAGCAAAAAAACAACTAAGTGTTAAAATTGAGACATGTTTATTGATTTTATAACACGGACTATCTATGTCATGATTCAACCGGGGGGAGGGGGTTGGATTAGGGTTAAGAGGGCCTGTTTGGATTGATAGAAAGGTGTATTGCAATGATTTGATATATGTGAAGTATAAAAAAGATTAAAAAATATGTTTACAGAAAACATAAAAATTTTTCTGTGAAGAATCACACTCCAGACAAGGCCTAAAACTTATTGAAACAACCATACAATAAGTATTTTTTGGTACGCTAGAGCAACATGAGAGGTGGATTTTAGATGATGGTTTTATGGAGTTTTTTTTTTCTTTGGTACAATGGAGGGTCAAATCAAGTAGAAACTAATCTAGGAATTGCAAACCAACATAAATCTTGACTAAGTAGTTGTTTAATAGTATGTGGGGGATCTTTGAGAATAGTGACTTGAAACCATCCCGTTAAAGCAACCTTTGCCAAGTGATCGATTTTATGCAGAGTTTCAATAATCCCAAAAATAAAAATATTATTAAAAAAACGTGTTTATAATGTAATCAAATAAATTCTTTTTTTTTTGTAAATAAGAAGCTATCTAAACGCACTCACTTATTGATTAATAAGTGTAGAGCAAGCATCTTAATAATGCCCATGATTAATAAGATGGAGAATTTCTACCCAAAAACGGAAAGGGGTTTTTTTTTGGGTTTGGGGAAGGGGGGGGGGGGGTTGTGTGTTGGGGCAAAGCAAGCATCTTTGATAATACCCATGATCAAATAAGATGGAGACATGGGAGTGCTTCTTTAAGAGCCCTCACATGGGATTAGACTTGAGGTGATCTTGATGGATGTATTCATGTTGGAGACAATAAACCTGAAGTTCTTGCTAGTATGTGATTTTCATATTGGTGTCATCTCGATTGCAGAAGAGTAGAAGAACTATAACCGAGACAAATATTGGGGCCTTCAAAAGCTTGGAAAAATGAATTGGAATCTATTATTATCTGCTTATATCCTATGAATAATGAAGCCAAAAAAAATGACGCTGGAATTACAGATTTTACGGTGGTGATACCCTACCGCTAAAAGGGTGGCTGTAAAAGGGTGGTGGAAGGCTCCACCTCCTTATTACACATTCAAATGTCAATCCAAACAGAGAAAAAGGCAAAACCCTTTTGCCTCTGTAAATTACAAAACCCTCCTCCCTCACAAAACAATTAGTACCATGCAAGGAATCCTCCAATAGTCCAACCCTTTTTCTGAGGATGCCTTGTCTTCAGTTGTAGGCTGTCTCCTCCTCAGTCTTTTTCCTCATTCCTATGAAAAAAAAGTTTAATAAAATTATTATTATTATCATCCTATAATGGTAGGAAAAAACGCAAACAAATTACTAAGAAATACTTACACATAGGTCGTATTCTCCATACAAGTTTTTTTGTTTTTTTGACGTACAAAATAAAATTAAGCAAAGGACTATGTAAAATCATTAAAAGCTACGAGAAGCAGCAGCACAATTAATTGAGGCCATGACTGTCTGGTACTAACAATTAGCTTTTTTAATTAGTCTATTTTAAGCATGCATATCTAGAAAAAGACAATGCTACTACTCATGGCTCTTGTATAATCAATTGACCACTCCATGTACCCTTTTTTTTTTTTTTTTTTTTTTTTTTGGCTTTTCGGAGCAATAACACCATGTACTTGATCACCGACGTGGTCAACTTTAATCACTAGTTGAGTTGTTGGAGTAATCCTTCCAAGAACTGTAGCTTATTAATGGACTTCTTTTCTTGGTTTCTTTTTCTATTCATTTCTTTCACCTGTATTGCCAGTAAGTAATTTTGACAATATTATTGGGATTTGGGGAAAGGAATTGATGATGCTCATAAATGGGAGGCAAGGGAAAGGAGTTGAAGCGGTCTAAACTCTAAAGTAAAAATAAAATCATTTATGTTTTAGACAATGCCTATTACATTGCTCAATTGATTGTCTTGTTCTTGTAAAACAAAAAACAAAAAAGGACACTTAATTGTTATTATTAGTCCAATTTTCTCTCTTTATTTTCAAATTACACGACAATAATACTTATTACGAGTCTGTTTGGATATTCATTATTCCGCAAATTTATTTAACTGTATTTTAAATACATTTTTCAACTACATGTTTATCCCACATATATCACGTCAAAAAAGTGTTACAGTATTTTTTTAAAAAAAAAATTATTCCATTTTAATTTCCTATCTAAACACACTCAATCTAGGGAGGTAAATGTACATATAGCTCTTTATTAGTCTTAACGCACTAACCGTACACCGATAAGTGGGTGCTAGTAGTTTCCCCAATAGAAACCAACAAGTACTAATTTCCATATCTTGTGAAACAAAAAAAATGGAAAATTCCATATCTACAGTACTATCTATTTGGCTGCCCCAAAAAAAAAAAAAAGTCAGAAACTGCAGAGGACATCCTATAATTTCTTTTTCACAGGCGAAAATGGATATGCTTCATTTATTTCTACACATTGCCAAAAGTACTGTACATCCCGAGCAAATCATGGGAAATAAATTAGAATCTACACAACCCAAAATCCCAAATCACTGTACTATTATTTGGCATCAAAATCAAGGGAAACAGGGAGGAACTGAAAATTCTATCTTCATGGAA